TTTATTTTTTTTTTTTTGGGGGGGGGGGGGGAATTTATGTATATAATGCATATTTCTTATGTATTTACATAGTTAACACCCAAAAGTTTCATATTTATATTTATAACACCGTGAAGTCATTAACTTATGCATCAAATTGTGTATTTTACTTTTAAAATGATTATAATGATTGTACTTTTTTATGTGATGTTAATGATTTGAGTGGTGTGTGCCTGTGTGTGTGTAAATATTAATGTTTAGGCGTTAGATATGTAAATACATAAGAGTTATGTGGTATATATGTAAATGCCCTTTTTATTGTAAGTGCCTCAGGTTAGCAAGTTGTAGGACAAGCTAATCTACTTAAGGGAACTACTATAGCACATTTGTAGTTTTTTTAAATTCGAGGTTTTTTTTTTACCATAAATTTCATAGGTTAATAATTTTATTTTTTTTCATAAAATTTGAGTTCCTTTTTTCCTAATTAAAAAATAAGTATAATAAATTTGGGAAAAATTACATACATACCAAACAATTCTTGTGTGTTTACATATGAATTTTTATATTAACTTGTATGATAATTGGGTGTCATAAAAATATTTATTTCACTTTTAAGAAGTAATGAATAACGATATTTTTGATGTGATATTAAAATTGAGTAGTATGCATGTAAATGTAAAAGTTGAGGTTTCGGCATGTAAATACATAACAATTGTGTAGCACGCATGACAATGCTACAATGTTATCACAATTCGGCTTCGAATTGTTTACTCATTTCATTGTGTTGTAACTTGATGCCACAATAATTCTAACCTTTGCTATATAACTAGCTTTTAAGAAGCAATTAGATTCAAAATTATTGTGTGTTATTAAATTAACAACAATAGAGTAATATATTGATATCTTAGTGTTATATGAAAATTCAACACATACATAGATAAAGAGAGATTGGTCGAGAAGACATCAAGAGTTTTTAAATGAAGAACTTGAAAGGGAAGAAACTATGGGACATGAATTGGTTGAAACGATTTCACTATGTTAGTGTAAGTTACATGATTTTGCTGACCCTTGAATAGCCGAAAGCAATATTACATAAGTGGGGCATGTCTTTTGCTAGGAAGTGGTAGAAAAGACTAAGGAAATGATGGCAACCTAGCTATTGTGAAGAGAAGCCGACGTTAAAAATTTTTTGCTAGGAAATCTAATATTAGTGTCTTTGGTAGTAGCGACCTGATGGTGGACGATAGTCCTGACGACGGTCGGGCAGTGATGGTTCGACTGCGACGACTAGACACTGGTGGTTCGACAATGGTGGAGTTCGATGGAGACAGTTTGAAGGTGTTGGAACTCCATCGCGGTGGTTCGACGGTGGTGAAGCTCTATGATGACAACTAAGCACTAGTGGTATGGTTGTGGTGGAACTTGATACCGATTGAACGACGGCGATGAAGCTTAAGGACAGCGTTCCAGTTGTGTGGAGCTTGACGGTGGCAGCCGAAAAGCAACATTCCAGAGGTGGTGACGACCGATCGGCGATGGTCGTGGATTGGAGACAATGGTCAAGCGGCGACGGTGACTCAAACGACGGTGGCCGGGCAACAGCGGCCTGATGATGGTGGCAGGTAGTAAATAATGGTCGGGAAACGATGGTCTAGCTATGACAATGATAGTTCGATGATGATCAGGAAACAACAACGATGGTCTTGTGGTGATGACGACTCGGCAACGACAACCAGACATTTGTGGTCTGGTGATGGCGATGGCCAATCGTCGGCAACGACCAAACGTGGTCTAGAGATGGTGGCAGCCGGTTGATGGTGGTTCGATGATGGCGAGCTCAGGAACCCTTAAGATCTTGAAGCTCATTCATTTTTTTCCAGGTCCAGGTCCCAAGTCCCCTTTCATGAATGAAGAAGAAATTTATTTATAGATTTTAGGAGTGATATTCTTTGTAAGTATTGCATGAATTTGGACTACTCATCAGACGACCTAGAGCTATCATTTTATTCCAATGGTGTTTTATGAGCATTTTGAGTGTCTTAATGATGTCAACATCAAGTGATCTTGAACTCGTAGGGTTCAACTTGACAAGACAATCGACTTGATTATAAGCTTGTCATATTTAGAATCTATTTGACCTTTTAATTGTTCATCCCAATCCTTCAATTGTGCTTAGATGACTTAATCTGGGCTTGATCGGACTTGAACCAAATCATTTTTGGCTTCCTTGGGCCCTTCTTGTTGAAACATGTAGTTTGACTTATAAGCTTACATGAATCGATGCACCGGATGATTTTGAATTTGAAATATTCATTATTCGAAATGCTTAGAGATTTGTGCACAATTAAAATAATTTTTTTTGAGAAAGTATAACAAATTAAGAGTAATCAAATTGTTCAAGTTAAAATAAGTTTTGTATGAATACTTTCAAGTTAGTTGGAATGTTTCCCTTTTTTCCTTCTTTATGCTCTATGATTTTAAAACTCTTCATAGCTGAATTTTGATCAACATATTCTCACACAACTTTTTTCCCATCAAAATTACAATGACATGTAACTTCCTGCCAGGGTTTGACAACAAAACCTTTGTTCATTTTTCATCAATTTTGATATCTATAATTATGCAAAGATGATTTTGGATCGATGGGTATGTTTATAATTTGAATGATTGTTGTGATGATTTAGTAAATTTTGATTCAAATTTGGATCCAAATGTTAATTTGCATAGTTTTCCTCTAACATGAGTGTTTGAAACTAAATGAATTTGTCTCCATTTCGAGTTATATAGTATTTATTCGGTAGAAATTGGTAAAAAATGAGTTTTTATTATTTTGCAGAAAAGCCTTCATAATATGAACATTGACAAAATCATCCCTACATTTACCTCCAAATAAAAACAACAAAATAAATTCAAATTCATAATAGAAAAGCATTCATAATATCAAAATTTCTCTTCATTTTTTTTCAACAAGTCATTCATCAACAAACTGATTAATAATGTAATTAACATCAGTTTGGTGGCTAAACCCTTTAATTATAATGATTAATACATCTAATCATCAAAATTATGAATAAAAATCATGATTTTGGCAATGGCTTTCCTGCCAAAAATGACTTGAAAAGCTGGAATGCTCGCCTGGGTTTGAACATTGGCACCTCATGGCCTGCTCCTCGGACTGTAGCAAAGGTTAGGCCCTCATAAACCTCCGTCCAGCCCCCAACCTAAATAACCAAAAAAAGGGGTATTTACATGCATATATAATAATATATTTACATATATATCCAGCACCTAAGCATTGTGTAAAAAAAATAACGTCATTTTAACTTTAAGAAGAAAAATAGATGCTCTCAAACGTAAGCTGGCATGGATATATGTATATTGAAAACTCACCTGTCTGCCAGTATACCATGGGTACCAAGGAATTTGAACTGTCAGGTTTAAATGGTTGATAGAAAGTCTTGTCGCTGTTACCGGGACTACTGAATCTGTATCTCCACTGCAATTTTCATGTAGAAATTACGTAAAAAACTAAAAAGATCTATTAGAAAACCTTTCATTTTTTGTTTACTTAAATGACACCACAAAAATTAAGGTCCGTTTGGGCAGCGGTACGATATTGCACCGCAATTTTATTATTTTGACAGGTTTTTTTCAAAAAACTAACGCTGAAATCTGCGTTTTCTCACTACTTCTGGCCAGTTGTGGTGACAGCTTTATTAATGTGATCTGACATTTAAAAAAAAAATTATAATAGTCGCCATAGCTTTTTGAGTATCAGATTATTATTCAGCAGTTTCACATGTTTTTTTAATAAGCTGCAGCTGGCCCAAAGTGACTCTAATATTAAGTAAAATGGTCAAAATTCCTAATTAGTATATACTTAATCACAAGTATTTAATGGTATAAGTTTAAAATGGGATGAAAGAGAATTTTTGTTGTGGTGCAGATAACTTTTTCTTAAACTAATGTATTATTTTTGTGCGCCTTTAATTTAATTAACACTTAGCAATTAATTACCATGTGATTAAGAAATAGTTCTTTGAGAAAAAAGAAGGCCAATATATTTTAATTTGAACTTGGTCAGAATAGATTTAAAATCTAAAAATTTATTTCAGAACAAATGTAATATAATAGTTTATGATTATTGATACATTATATTCACATTAAATTAAATACAATACTTTTAGAACTCACCATCACTTGATATCTCTCTATTTTTGGAGAATTTATATACATACCACACAATTTCTTTGTTTATAAATATAACATTTTAGTGTTATAAATATATATCAAAACATGAATTTCTTAACTCATGAGCTTAATGGATCTAGTCCACGAGTTATTCATTTAATAGTCTGGTGTTGACCAAATTAATCGTACTCATTAGCCGTACTTTCGGAAGTGATAAGCTAGAGAGCTCATTGCCGCCCATAAAGACCCACGAGTACCTTCAAAGCACGCCAGCATTCTTGTGAGCTCCTTAGAGCAAGTTTTATCAAGCCTTATCAAGTGAATTCCTCCGATCGAGGTCACTCACATTGCCCAAGTTCTTTTTCCAAACTTGCATGGATTGGTTGGACCTTCCCACCAAGCTCGTTGAAAACAACCTGACTACACTAGGAGCTTAAAGGGCAATTCTTTGAGGTAAAATGAATAATACTTCAGTTTGTCAGCATACATATCACTATTTATTAACAACAAAACAATTCACACCAGCAGTCTTGTCGACAACGAGGCTGCTTAGGCTTTGTACTACACGACCTATAACCTAGTTTTACATTTCATTATTTACCCCTGCACGGACACATTGGATACATAGCATATAATAACAAGAAAAAGGGATGAAGAGGAATATACTTCTTGATTCAGAAGCCTTAAAAAACTCTCTTATTATCTCTCTTAAAGGAAATCATTCATCTTCTTCTCACTTCTTCCACATTGCTCTCTTGGATCATATGAGTTCACCACTAATTATACGGGATCTCATATCGCAAAAAAATTCAAAACCTAAAAGGGTGCGGTGAGCATGCATGGAACTCATTATCAAAATCTAGTGAGGAGATCTTTTCTTTCAAGGAGGAACGAATAACAAAGAAGGATTGAACCAGAGAATTTGAGGCGTAGCAGATGAATGAAACTAATAGAACAAATGAATAAGATGATAGAAGAACGAAGATAAGAGATGTGTGAAACCCATTTTTGAAACCCTTTAAGAAGTCATATGGGATCATCAGAATCAGAGGCGTGCAGGAAAGAATAACGACGTGACTAGACACTCAGAGAATAGGCACATTGAGTCAAAGCGAGGAGAGCCCTAGCTCCTACATTAAGGGTAGAGGAAGATGATAATGATGTGCCTCCTATTCTTAGAGAAGAGATATCATAGTTCTCATAAGAAGAGAAAAAATGAATACGAAGAACAAGAAGGAGACGATTGCCAAAAATGCTTTCTTCTGAGAAATTATTAAATAAAGAACCCTAGAAGGTTCAAAAAAATTCTGTCCTTGGACTCTTACGAAGGAAGAAATGATCTTACTGACTATGTAGATTCTATTGAATCAGTAGTATGGTTGCTATGAGTAAACAACACCCTTAAGTGTAATTTGTTCCTCACAACTCACTAGAAATCGGTGTGACGCTCATATATATTTCATAAATTGAATCAATTGGGAGTATGGACAATGAACGATGAATCAATGAATCATAGATAGAAGTAAATTCGTTTCGACCATCAATAATGATGCCAAGATGACTTCAATTCGGGAAACAGATTGTGCATGCACATCCAAAGGGTTGAAATTGCTTAACATGGGGTCTTCAATGATCAAAACAAATGAACATGATGAAAACAAAAAATTGCAGACTTGACTCATGTAACTCGTGCTCAATTCATTTCTAACATCATCTAAATTTGTCTGATGTCTGACCACAAAACAAACTACGCTGTTTCGTCTGGAACATCCAATTTTCCTAAAAGGGAGTCCTATATTGATGGGTCTTCGTGCATAAAATAATTTGCACTTAAATCAAGACATTTAAATTAAAAAAAAAATTAAACCTTCTTTTACCCTCCCAACCAAGGAACCGTCAATCCATATCTCCTTCACTTCTTCATCGCCCACCTTGTCCAATCACAACTCATCTACTTTATAAAATAATTAAAAAAAGAGTTAAAATTAAAAAAAAACTAATAATGTCCATATTCATCCTATCCCATCACTTTTCCCTCAGTCTCGCTCTTCACTCATACATGCATGCCTTAACAAAAAGGCAAACTCTATCTGGTCAGCATCGGGGTGTAATCTGTGAATCTTAATACAAGAATCTATTGTCAAAAAGTCCCGACAAAGAAACAATCTCTACAAGATGAACATCAGGGTGTGATATTGAAGTCTCAAGTCTAAGTATTTACTACCAAAAGGTCTCAGCAGATGCCAGATAGACATTGTTTTTTTTTTTAAGAGCATGCTACATGTAGCAAAATATTATGTCATAAATTAATGACCATGATATAGGTTCTTCAACTTCAGAGATCTATCAACATTTGATTCGTAAAGAATTTATTTATAATAATAATATCTATAATCGTTGACATCCTAGGGAATTTTATCTTGAAAAGATAATTAATCTCTCCTAAGGACTCCCATTATGCATGTCATTATCCAGCTCGATGATTTGGAGTTTCTCATCGCTGACGCTAGGGCCACAAGTGCATATGTTCATTGCTGCATTAGGAGACCTCAATCTATTGATGTACATGCATGTTTTGCATTTCAAGCTACACATCAAAAAATTCCCATCTATGAAGATTATTATTATTGTGGAGAATAATGTCTTAGTGCTTGTGAATAATTGAGCCTCTTGCACCAATAAAGCACAATGTTGAAGCTTCATCATCAGGAAGAAAGCCATATAAAAAGCAAAGATGAATTAAACTGAGATCAACAATGATTGTGCGGGCAACAAGCTTTAGTCTCGTAAGTAATTATTTTCACCTACAACAATTCCAAATTTTGAAATTAAGCAAAACTTAAATTTGGGCTTAATGAGGCCAAGCCCTTATCATCTGGTAGAGGGACATTAAGACATTGTTTTCTAGAGTACATGGGGTTTTGAAAAATATTTTAGCAAAGGAAGATATGAAAAATTGTTTTGATTGAAACTAGTAGGTCCCTAATCAAAAAGTTGTTGCATGCTATGACGGCTTGAAATCAACCTAAGCAAGTTCTACACGATAAACATCATAGTGTGACACTTAGAACTTGTGTCTAAGAATCCACTATCGAATGGTCTCGGTGGGAAAAAAAATGAATCTGGAAACCCAGCCCTATATGAAAAAGAAATTTTAAAGAAAGTTAAAGACATTTGGTTAGCACTCTCGGAGATCCGTCATCAAATCGTATGAAAGAGTAAAAACCTGAAACTCTGTCTACTAGAGTGCATAAAGTCATAAAGGTTACTAAGGAAAAATGTCTTGGGAAAAGAAAATGCACAATACTTACCATGATTGGGGCTAAAAGAAACTCATTAAGAGACAATCTATGGAGATTGACCAACATCAACCAAACAAGTTACACTCGGTGAACATTGGGACGTGACACTCGGACCATGTGTCCAAGAATTTACTGTCAAAAGATCTCAGCGTAAGAAGATATATCATTAACAAGATCAGTTAAAAATGAATTTTGAAGAATGTTTAATGAAAATTCTCAAGATGTTTTAGACCTTGGAAAGATTGCCAAGGGATATCATCACTAGTCAGTACCCCGCAGGTGGAGGGGTTATTAAATTTATGCAAGCATATGACTTCAGACATTCTTCCTCCCCAATAAGTTTAGAACAGCTGAATGAAGCATGTCAAAAACCCTGCAAGAAGAGGGATTATCAAATACAAGCCATTAGGAGTCAACTTCTATTAATCCACACTCTCCATTAGAAGCAGATTTATGTACCCCATAGGTAAAGGGATTATCAAATACAATACAGTATGAGTCAACTTTTGTTGCTCTTCACTCTCCAGTACAAGCAGATTTATGTTCCCCACGAAAGAGTGGTTATCAAATGCAAACCAATATGAGTTAGGTTCAGTCGCTCCTCATACTCCATTACAAGCAGATATACTTTCCTCGTAGGAAGAGGGGTTATCAAATACAAACTAATAGGAGTCAACTTTAGTTGCTTCTCGCTCCCTATTACGAGCAGGTAAAAAAATTTACAGGTGGAATGGTTATCAAATTCATGCCAATACGATATGTCTTGGTCATTCTTCAACCCCCGATCATCAAAAGCAATCAAATAAATGGATGTCATCAAATATATGGGTGAAGAGATTATCCAAGTCAAGTTGAAGGAGTAAAATTTTAGCAATTCACCAAATCTCAGGAAATTTAATCATGATGTTAAGAAGAATAGTTTTCTCCATCCATAAGTTAATGAAAAGAAAATATGTTATTTTCTAATTTCAATTTAATACTTTACTGAAATTCTCTTGTGATACAAGAATTCATTCCTATAGTTTCAAAAAAATATCCCTGTAAGACAAGGGGCATTTGTTTATATATATTTGAATTGACATTGTGTCTCAAAACGAGAACATCAAATATTGCAATTTATTGCCAGAGATTTTTCCTTTGCAAGATAAGGGGTCTTCTTACATATTTGGGTTAACATTGTGCATCAAGCTAAAATCCCAAAATACTATTACTTACTATAAGAAGCTTTCTTTTGCAATATAAGAGTGTCTTTCTAATGTTATTTAAGTGATTGTTGACTTCATTTTTATGAGGTCTTCCTTTTCATCCTCCTAGAATCTAGGATCTAACCTTAGGATTTCCTAATGACTCTCTTAGAAGACTAGCACTGGAACCCATACCAAATAGAAGTTAAACATTTCGTGATTTCTTGTAGTTTCATGCATTTGACCTTGAATACTCAAACTTTGCTTGAGTTGATTAAGGTCAAGTTATTGAAGTTCAAGTTGAGTTGTTTGGAAATACCCTAGGTAACCCTTTCAAGCCTAGAGACTTGACTTTATACTTTAAGTTCCTTTCAACCTCATAGGACCCAATCAAGCAAACTTAATATTTGTTCTTAATTCACACTTTTTGGTTCGAGATAAACTCAAACATGGTTGGAGTTCGTCTTAAACCATGATAGAGTTTAAATTGAAAATAAAATGAAAAATTAAATGATTAAAAAAATTGATTTAAAATCCGAATTGAACACATGAATCAATAATCAAGAAAATTTAAATTTAAATCAAAATTAATATAAACAAATCAATCAAATTATATAATCCTAACTAAATTTTTAATTAAGCATAATTAAAATTAAAATTTTAACAAATTAGCAATTAGATAAGAATAAAAAATAATAATATATAATTTAAAAATAAAAATAAAAATAAAAATAAATAAATAAATACCAAAATCTCACTCAAGCACACACTCATTCACTTTGTGCTTTCTTCTTAATTTACATATCATACTTTGGAGGCTCCTTATTGGTTATACTCCATGCTTAAATTCACTCAAATTTGGCCATGAAATCTTTTGCCATAAGATTGTCAAATCCATTTCAAATTTGCTTCAAATCCAACCCAAATTAAAATTCATTTGGATTCACCAAACTTTGAATGAATTTGGACTTTTCTTTGAACCACATACTTTGATGAACCTACCTAAGCATTTTAACAATTATTTGAATCACTTTGAACACTTTAAAGAACACACTTGGAGTTCCATGAAGCTTCCAAGAAGCTTCCTCCATGGCACCAATAACTAGTGCCAATCACCCATGCTCTTGATCTCTACCTAATAACTTCCTCAAGATGTTTTCTTAGATGATTGGTTGACCAAACCTACCGCACGTTTGGGTTAACCCATTCTAGCCCAAGCTCACATCTTGGCTCCTAATGCAAGCTACTTCCCACTTTCCTCGTCTATAATTGATATTTTTTTTTAAGAAGTTCTATATTATATAACTAATATATATACCTAAGAATTCGAGTACCCCACCTACACTTGGGAGGCATCGAAACTCAGACCATAGGAAACTTACAACTGACAAACAGATGCCCGACCAATTAGTCTGAGTACGCGACGCAAAACACACACATATATATGATATGATATGACATCCCTTAGATCTCACCTGAAGATCCAAATCCTTAGTCCAGCAGCCATCAACTCCTTGTAAGTCGGCAACATAGAAAACTGGGAATCTCTCCAAGTCTTGATCAGCACATCGCTGCATTCATAATCCATAATAAATAGCAGCTAAAAAAAAATCACCACAAATAAAATGTATTTTACTAAATGCTATTACTATGTATTATTATATGATAATAAATACAAAATATAATAACACTCAGCATTAATGTAAACAATAATATAGAATACATCCAAATTATTGTTCGAAAGTCCTTCGTATACTTGGCTTCGGAGTCAGTTTCATCAAATCTCACTGATCCTCATTTTTATATATGAACCAATTCAACAGCAAAACAGCAATAAATCTCATAAAACGTTACACAAAAAATTCACCCTTTTTAGAGATGAATTAACAATTCATCAACATATAGGTTTAAGGACATTGTTTAGGGCATAACCGTATATATACATATATATATATAGAGAGAGAGAGTGTGTGTGTGTGTGAAAGGGAACGACTGTAGGCTATTATACGAGCTCTGATCATTTCTCATGCGCCTAAGAATTCGAGTACCACACCGAACACTCAAGAGAATCGAAACCTGAACTAGAGGAGACTTACAACTGACAAGCACATGCCCGACCAACTGATTTGTGATTTGATTATGTGACACAATCATATATATATT